GCTTCTGGAATTTCACCCAAACACTCCAGCTTCTGCTTCTGCTCCCTGAAGGAGCAGAATCACTTTTTAGAATCAGATCCAAACACCCCCTGAGAAGCTTATGGATATTGAGAAGCAAAACAGGAGGATATCTGAAATATAAGGTTTTCCACTCATATTCTGAAATATGAGAAGCAAGTTAAGCGCTCCTCCTGTTGAGCGCTTCCACCGGAAACTCCAAAATATAGTGGAAAACCTATCAATCCAAGAAGGAAGACATCAAAATTATCAGCTCTTAATTCTCCGTAGTGAACTTTTTGTAGCTAGTCCGTACTGACAAGTGACACCACTATATAAGTGGTGTCAGCGGCAAAACAGGAGGATATAATAGAGGTATAAGTGTATTCCTCCCTAAATAATATTGGGACTGTTTTAGCTGTTTAATATGTGTGTGTGTATTCTTAAAGTTTAAATCAATAATTGGATATTCTCAATGAGTAACACTAAACTATTGAAAAGGGAGAGAGATGGCAAGAGAACCTTGTTGCCCCTTGCTGCTGTAAACAGGGTTTGAAGAAAGGCTAAGGAAGAGTTGTAGTTGGGTATTTATATACTCTGTATCCATATAGAGTTTCATGGCAGAGTAGTATGTTCTATTTTACATAGGATGCTTTATTTCTTGGGTGCCTCTAATATTTCATTGAATGTATAAAAAACTTTATGCTTTTTGTGATATTATTGCCAAGAAAAGCTTATTCCTTAGTGCCAACAAATTAATTGCTTAATGAATCCCCCTAACCACACTTGGGTTCATTATTTGAGCTATGTAGGTGGTATCTTTAATTTGGAATGAAGTAATATTAATTAATTCATCCCCAAAGGTTCTCTCATTTTGGTTAATGCGGTGTCGACAGAGAAGGGGATTTAATAATTATTTAGTCTACTTCTCTTTAATATATCTCAAAACTTTCTTTTGTATATGCAAAATGATTGGTTTTGAAGTTTATCTTTGTTTCAGGCTGCCTAGGATATTGATTATCACCATAATATTCTGGCATCCCATCTGAAGGTGAATCTGAAAGAAGTCTTGTTGGTTGGTGATATTTTATTTGTTTTTTTCCATTTGCTAGATATTTTCATGTATGGCATTGGCAGACTAATATAATGTCTTACTTTTCAGATTGATTTATGTCTCTTTCTTGATGCTCTTCAATTTTTGTCTCCATTATGCCACATTGCTAATTGTTTGAGAATTAAGAGCTGATAATTTTGATGTCTTCCTTCTTGGATTGATAGGTTTTCCACTATATTTTGGAGTTTCCGGTGGAAGCGCTCAAATCCATGGATTTTTATCCGAAAGAAGTTTCAAATCCCGTCAGTTGGTTGTATTTTTTAATTATAGAAATTTTACATTTTAATTAGTGTAGTGTAGTATGTTATTCACGCTTAGCTACTTCAACACATTGTAGTACGCTCTTCCAAAAATATTTCATAAATAATGAATGTTCTTTATTTGACAGTATATCTTAGTGATTTGATCTCTAAATTTATGGATATTATATGTTTTAGGATCTTGTGTTGCCAGTACAGTGTAATTTCAAGATATTGTATTTTAATTTATTTTTTTTTTGAAAAAAACAGAATCTTTAGCGTCCACATGTCGACGCAAAAGATGTTTTTTTATTTTTTCCAATTTAATGACTTTTTGCGTTGACAAAGTCGACGCAAAAGATAAAATTTATTTGCGTCGACGGATGTGGACACTAAAAAACTTTTTGCGTCGAGCTTTTTGCGTCGACACATTTGCGTCCACTTGTTGACGCAAATAAAGTATTTGCGTCGACTTTTGACTTTTTGTGTCCACTTTTTGTCGACGCAAAAAACAGTTTTTCTTGTAGTGATATATTCCAAAGTGATCACTAGGAAGAAGGTAATATGGAGAGTCTTTGGCGACGAAGGATCTTCAATCAAGGTAGAATATCGAGTAGAAGAATTATTAGGGTTTATGAAGAACGGTTTGTTATAAATGAAATTTCATAAGCAATGAAGAAGAGAATCTGTGAATTGTTCTAAATCAAGTTTGAGAAAAGTATGAATAGTTCGGTAGTAAAAAATAAAACATCATGATTCAAAAAAAAAGATACCCCATCCCTGATGGCCGCCCAACACTGACCGGCCAGACGGCTCGATGAGAGGATGTAAATTGGACTATAATCACAATCTGACAGATAGAGAGTGGGGTTCCGTCCCCGGTACTTGCAGAGGCTCTCTATTGAGTAACCTCTCATCGCAGTTGACGAGAGTCGAACCCGGGACCCAACCCTTGTGGCACTCACTTGCTACCAGTTATGCTGTGCCCACCGGTATAAAACATCATGATTCAAGATAGCTTTAGTCAGGGCCGGCTCAATAAATTAGGAGACCCGGTGCGAGTCACAAAAAATAGGCCTTATATTAAATCAATACAATACCAAAAATCAACCTTAAGAAAACACAAAAAAAAGTACAAACAGTTGTCAGATTGAAAAATGATCACTTTTTCAAACTTGAACAAATAAAATTAGTAAAAAAATCTTAAATCGGAAATGAACGAATGGAAATAGGATAAGAAAAAGTGAATTTTATACCTTCGTTTAGATCATTCGGGCAAATAAAGTAATCAACTATTTTAAAAATAATTACCCTATATATATACACTATATAGATTTTACAAAAAAAATGGGCCTTATATTTTTGGAGGCCCTGTGCAAAGGCACGCTTTGCATGCCCTCATCTACGGCCCTTACTTTAGTAGTCAAAAATAATACTCCCTCCGTATCCCAAAGTTCCATACACTTTTCATTTTGGGATGTATTTTAAAGCTCCACACACTTTCCCTTTTTGGTAAGTTTTTCCTTTTAAAAATACTCAATTATCCTTACTTTTTCTACATTTTATCCTCTCTTTCCTACTTTTTCATCTTCTCTCCTACTTTTTCTATATTTTCCATATTACCCCTACTATTCTCCCTTAATATTGTGTCATAACATAATGTATGGATCATTTATTATAAGAAAGAGAGTACTCCCTTTGTTCCACTTTGTAAGATACTTTACGATTTATGATGTTTGACCAACGACAAAGCAAACGGATCCCTGTCCACACTCAAATTATTCTTAGAAAAAATAAATTACAAATTCAGAAACTACATTAAAGGCTTTACAAAGTCGCAAAAACCATAATCAAATTTGATAAAAAATTGATTTATGAAGTAAGAGATTAAAAGTGATTTTCGATGACCAAGTGAATAGGAAACATATCTTACAAAATGAGACTGATGGGCAATGTTCTAAAAGGCGTAAGGCGTGCCGAGGCGGCACGCTCAAGCCTTAAGCCTTTGAAGCCTAGGCGGGTGTAGGTGGGGTGAAGGCGTGAAAAGGCGTTTTGATTTTTATACTTTATTTTAATTTTTCTAGAGCTATATTTTAATATTTAAGTTTAATAATTAAATATTGTCATTCAATAACGTCATTGTATTAAAAAATTCAACGAAAAAGGATCGGTCGAGTCCTAATCTGAAAAATATATTGACTAATTACACAAAAATCAGAACTGGAAAAAGTAGTTTCATGGTAATACTAATTAATAATAATAAAAACAATAATACAGAGTATCTAATACTCCATATCTAATATATGACTAAAATAAAAATACTGAACAAAAATGTATCTTAGCAACTCTGCTAGACAAAAATATACTTACCATGATTAGACACACTTTTTATGAAATAATTACATATTTATGATTAAAATAAAGATTGTTTAAAAAAATGTGACTAGGGACTATAGTGGTAATGAAAGCATAGTAATTTATGTTCGATTTTTAAACTTAAGTTACCACGACACTACATTGTAGTAACTATTAATCAAATCTGTGTAAATAAAAATTATTTAAGAGTAGTGATTTAGCACTTTCAATTTAAAGTTATACTCCTAATATAATACGGAGTACTATCTAAAATTCAATATGTACATAAATGACAATTGGACTTGGTGGCTCAATGGCTATCCCTTTCAAGAAAGCCCACCTAAGTAAGTTTTAGTGTTTTACAGAGTATGTAAATTTCGTTTCTTTCCTTTATGATACAATTGTCCCACACCGGTGGCAAAAGAACGAGTTCTCATCAGCGGACCCTATAAATTACCCCTCCCCATCTATTAAATCGTATCATTAGAATACGCCTTCCTACTTTGAAGACGCCTAACGCGCGGGTCAAAGTAGAGGCTAGAACAACTTTTATGCCTTTTGTCACGCCTAGTGGCCATGTGTTGCGTTTGCTTGGCGCCTCACGCCTAGGCACGCCTTCGCGGTGCCTTTTGGCGCTTTTTAGAACACTATTGATGGGTACTATGTAAGAATAACAAAAATAATTAACTAATTATGATTTGGGTTCTTCACTTCTTGAGTAATTTTGATTTTAGACCCTTGATAGGAGCTATAGAAGACATTTCATTGCCAAAGAAAACCACAGTTGTTTTTGGCAAATAAGCCCCCATGAATTAATCAAAAAGTGCAAACCACTCCTTATATAGGAGACTCCGGCCGTCGTCATTTGTGGAGGTTCTCGGTGGAATTTTTTGATGAATTTTTTTTAGTATCTTCTTCATTAAATCTAGTTTACCCATACAACATTTCAGATAAAAATGCAATGGGGAAAGCATTCAAATGAATTTTTGAACATAACTGCGCACTCAAATAGCGCAGTACATCACAGAAAATCATTTGACTGTCTTCCCGGTTTTCTTTTTAGTTGAAATTTGGTATGGGTAAACTAGACTTAATGAAGAAGATGCTCAAAAAATTTCATTTAAAAATTTCATCAGGAACCACCCCAAATGACGACGCCGGACAAAACCTCCTATATAAAGCGTGATTTGCACTTTTTTGATTAGTTCGAGAGCTTATTTGTCATTTTCCCTTTATATATTTGATTTAGATACAGTGGATGTTATGAATAAAATGAGAACTTTAAATAAAATTACCTGCAAATATACACTGTAGCCCAAAGGAGACAGATCCCTGCCACAATTATAGCTCCAACATTGATGATGCCCGATAGCTGTGAGCTTTTCGAAAACATTACTACCACCAGCCCAAATCCTACCGCATATGCAATGCTGCGCCCAATAAATACAATACACAGCTCGTTAATTAGAGTAGGCGTTATTGATTTACTCTCTTTTCCAAATTGATTTGTCAAATTTTTATTTTGGTTATGCCAAAATGATTTTATACTTTCAATTTATAAGTATAGGAAGATAAATAAAGTGCAAATGTACCTTACTTTACTCCTTTTCCACTTATTTAAAGGTCTTTATTTTATGAGAGAGATGGGACAAATAATAAAATCAAACTTTACTAATTATCTTCTTTAATTCTTGTGACAATCAATTTTTGCAAATCAAATTTGGATGAAGTGAGTAATAAGGATGTTTTTACTTGGACTGTTTTCAGTTTCAGACCAGACTTAAATAGACCAGATTAGACAAGACCAGACTTCTGTAATTATAAAATACACAGAGACCAAACAATTATCAGACCAGACCAGACCAGACCAAAAAATTACAGCCCACGTAAAAATATCTTAACTAAGATCAATTAAGTATCTATTTATATGTATATATGTTATACATCAAAAGGCTTAAGTTAGATTATCTCGTGATAATTAACTTGAACTTTTCAATTGGTATGTTATACCTCAACCTTCCGTAAGTCCGATTTCTAAAGGACATGTACAAAACTGCTATATTAATTACAAATATGAAGCTTGAGGTGTAATGTGCCCATTTAAAATAGGGATATATGTAGGATATGTTTCACACAACTAGTTAAAAAGATACTCTTGTAAACTTTTTAATAAATGTTAGCTTTTAGGATGTTTTTACTTGGACTGTAATTTGCTGGTCTGGTCTGATCTGATCTAGTCTGGTCTGGTCTGATCTGGTCTGGTAAGGTCTGGTTTCTTTGTATTTTTATAACTATCCAAGTCTGGTCTGGTCTGGTCTGAACTGGTCTGGACTGGTCTGGTCTGGTCTGGGGCAAATTACAATCCAAGTAAAACCTTCCTTAGTGACTGAAAAGATTTTAAAAAGAAAATGTGATAACTGTTTAGTAAAAAGCTGATTGTTTGATTTAGATCTGTTTGTTATACAAGATGTTATGACAAATTAATAATCCCTGTAGCTTCTCAGAAAATATCTTTTATATTTTGAAAAGTTCTTAAAATTTGTTATGTCAAAGTGTCAAACATCCAATTAGAAGATTTTATAGACTTTTTAAATAGGGAAAATTTGACTTTGCATCCCACTTTTTTTATGATAGTGGACTTTGCACCCCATTTTCAGAAAACTTTGACTTCGCACCCCAATACTTACCATTTTGTGAAGAAAAATTTCTAAATGGGGTGCAAAGTCAAGATAATTTTAAGTGGGATGAGGTGCAAAATCAAAGTTTTTTTCAAAAACGGGGTGCAAAGTCTAATATCACCCAAAAAGTGGGGTGCAAAGTCAAATTCCTCCTTTTAAATAGTACAAAAGCTAGAAGACTGAGACTTATGTCTGCCAATCATACAAGTAATTATCACAAGATAAGTTCTTACTTCTTACAACCTTTCCTTAAGATCAAGAAGCTTTACATAAAAAGAGGTCTTTCAATAAAAAATAGAGAAAAGGGTCAAATAAGGCCTTCTACTATTATGAAATAGTCACATAAGGCCATGTACTAAATAAAGTGTCATATAAGTACCTCTACTTGTAAAAAAAACAATCAAATGAGTCCTAGCGATCTATTTACAACCTCATAATCCCGGTTTTAGCTTACATGTCGATTTTTTTGACTTGTATTTCAACCAATCTTAGTTAAATATTCGACGTATGCCGTATAATCTATTCCAAAAGGATGGTCACAAGTACGCAAAAATCGGGATTAAGAGGGTTAAATAGGTCATTAGGACCTATTTGATTGCTTTTTACAAGTAGAAGTACTTATATGACACTTTATTGAGTACGTGGCCTTATGTGACTATTTCATAATAGTAGAAGGCTTTATTTGACCCTTTTCTCTAAAAAAAAATACTTACGTAAGAATCTAGACCGTCAATCACTATTGAGAAGAATGAATTCAATAATTTTATTATTTAAAAATGTGATAGTCTGATTGTAAATAAAAAGGAAATTCAAATGTGTAAAGTATAATGATAAAAGTGTGCTATAAATAGTACTCCGTAAGTTGTCCGCATATTTTGTTTATTGCACCATTACTAAAAAATGTACTCACAATTATGTCACATACGCCATTTTTGGTTTTAAAAGATCGATGATCTAGTCCTACGTACTAGCTAGTCCTTTCATTTTATCAAAATGATGTCTAAAATGGTTTTTCTTTTACACCCATATAGTATGTTTCACTTGAACAAAATAGGTATAATATAATACTCCCTCCGTCCCTTTTTATTTAGTCAAACACTATTTTTCAAGTCAAAGTTGTTTAACTTTGACTGATTGTATATTTATACACGATAATTTTGATAATATGAAAATTACATGAAAATGTTTTTTGTTAAAAATACTATCATAAAAGTATAAATTTATTAAGTTTCACATAAATATATTAGTCAATATAATATATCAAAGTTTATCATCTTTGACCAGAAAAGTCCAAGATCGCTAAATAAAAGGGACAGAGGTAGTATGATATTCCAAATATGAGTATTGTGTTTTTTTCATAAATACTATGTATTCCCTCCATCCCTATTATATCTTCCAAATAGATTTGACACACAGTTTAAAATAGTGGGTATTGTGTGGTGGAGAATTGTGCAGAGGAGCTGAGGGTGAATTGTGTAAGAATTGTTGTGAACCACAAATTCTGACCAAAAAGGGAAAGTGAAAGTTTTAATTTGGACGGACGAAAAAGGAAAATTGGAAGTTTATTTAGGGACAGAGGGGTATGAGTTATTATCGGTAATTCGTCATGCTAAAAATGTACTACGGAGTATTAATTACGGAGTACATTACTAGAAACAAATTCATGCCTAATTTACCTATATACATTAGTGGAATTCCTCACTAAACTTCCCTCACCGATCTCTAATTACTTTCTATATTCCTCTCTAAAAGTGTGGGTCACCAAAATGTATTATTCCTATATTCATGACTTATGACTAGTTTCCTAGTCATTTACTACATATTTGATAGGAACACGGTTCCTTTCTATATTTTTATCCTTATAATATATACTAAGTAATTAAACAAAAAATAAAGAATTTAGTTTCTTATAATTACGCACACACCTACCATACAATCGCACATAGCACGTCGTAAATACCACCCTTTATTAGTAGAGATATTACTCGAAATAGGACTAAAAAAGTTTGTAAATTCCAAAATAGGACTGTCATGTATTTATTCCCAAAATAGGACTAATTACTGTCATGTTTTGGCAGTACCAGACTTCAAACATGGCAGTATTTTCCAAACTTGGCAGTAATTACTCCTATTTTGGGAATAAAAAGCATGACAGTCCTATTTTGGAATTTCTAAACTGTTTTAGTCCTATTTTGGGAACTTTCCCTTATTAGTAACATGCAATTAACTTGGAAATACAATTGAAAATTATAATAGGGAAATTTACTAAGATATGACTAAAACTCAATGAGTTTCTCAATCTATGACCTAACTAGTTTTTATACCTTTGTATGACCAAAAATCCAAAAACAAATAGAAAATTCGTGTATATTTAAATGTTGAATGACAAAAATACCCTTATTTAAAATATGTGCATTTTGCACTAATTCCGTCCAATTAAAATTACTGCACTTTATATTGCCGTTAATGCACAAAATTAATGCATGACTTTATTGCACATCCGGTAATAATCACTGCACTTTCCCTAAAATTAATTATCTTCTTATTCAATTATGATTTTTTTTTAAAAATTAATAATTTTATTATTTTACGTTTAATTAAGTATATTGTATTTCATGATGATATCACTGCTTTGTGTTACTGCAGTACTGGTCATAATCATTGCACAACAAAATTTCTTAATGCATTCGTTCACTGCCATGCACAACATGTTTATTACCATATATATTCACTGTCAATACTCCACACTTATTTAAATGTTCAATGATGGTGTTCAATGCCCATATTTAATGCGCACAAACCCTAATTTTAGAAACTCTAATTTTTAAAATAGAAAAGCAAAAAGAGAGAATTGATTGCCAAAGCAATACTGAATCCAGATTCTGCTCTCGGCATTCAAGGCATTCAACAAATTGGTGCAAACCAGTATTGCTTGACCGAAAATCCAAAAGAAAAGAAATTAAAAAAAAAATCGTTTATAACTCAAAAATTACAAAATGAAAAATGAGGCAAAACGGCTGGGCTGCATTTGAGTTCTAGATCGATTGGTCAATCCCCACCAAAATCAGAAGTATGGTTAATTTGAAGAATCCCAGGGAAAATACTCGACCTCCAAATCCAATAATCGCTATTGTAGTCTAGTCTCCACTTCGTTGGTCAATTAAACCTCGAATACCACAAGGCGCAATCGGCGACTTAGAACTCGGAATTCAGTCTGAGACTCAATTGATTCTCGAATCTCCTAGGGCGGCAAAGGCACAGTTTGTCCAATCGTCTCTTCATCAATCCCTGATTGCGATCATGGTTTGGTTGATGTCAGGCGTCTCCTCACACTAGCCACACCTCTTGGCCGTCAATGGCATCCTGTTCGTAGTTCACGACCATGAGGCCGTGGATCTACATGAATAATGGTCGTTCGCTAAAGGGTGGGCGGTGGACGACGGCTAGATGGTAGGCGGCGGTGGCTAGACTACAGGGCTGCTGCACGGATGGATGGCAGGGCTGCTGCACGGATGGGTTTGAAAAAATGGGTAGGAAGTTAGGATTTTATAGATATAAGCAAAAGGGTATATTTGTCCATAAAAAATATTTATTATTTATTAAAAACGAATTTTAATTAATTATTATGACTACTAATATTATTTTGGGAAAAAACCTAGTTAGGTCATAGATTGGAAAACTCATTGAGTTTTAGTCATACCTAGGGTAATTATCTCAATTATAAAACGTGAAGGTCGGGATAGACCAATAAAGAACTTTTTCATATGAATTTTTACACATAAATTTTTATAGTAAAAAAAGTTTTTTCACATTTGGGGTGGCTCGGGGCTTGATCGCAGGGGCGGCTTTGGGGTCAGTTAGCCCAGGCAACAGCCTTGGGCCACACGTGACCAAGGGGCCTCCAAAATGAAAACTTTTAGTATTAGTATGGAGTATTATATATGTATTCGTATAGCTATTCATCCAGCAGGCAGCAGCCCAAGGAATGAAGAACAAGATTATCGATTACCGGTTACTTCCGACTGCGAGCCACCCACCGGCCCAGGACTCGCAGGCTTCCAGTTCACCCTCGTCTCTCGATAAAACGCCTTGCCAAGTCGTCCGCTGCTGCCCACCGACCTAGTGATTCTTTGATTTCTCTCGCTGACTCGGTCTCTCAGTATTTTATTGCTCTCATAATCTCTTCTTAATCGATGGATTCTCCGTGACTCTGTACTCTTTAGAATTTAGTCTCTAGAATACTACGGAGTTAATGACCAGAATAGTAGATTGTAAATATCTAATTTGACTTCTTATTATTTATGTTAAAATTGTGAATGACTTAATGCCTAAAAAGTAAATATTTAATACAAGGTGTAAAGTTGAGTGCTCCGTATTTAATAGGCTAAATTTATGACTAATATATATAGTGTATAATTATAATTTAAAAATTAGTGGGTTAATATTGCTACATTGCTAAAAAAGATTGGTATTGTATAGATTAGATTATGGGAGTGTTTGTGATTGCTTCAACTTTAAAAAGGTGATTTTTTTAAAGTGATTTTGGATAAAATGATTAATAGTAAAAGATGATAGTGTTTGAGAAAACAGTGCTTCTGAAAAAGCAAAAGTATGTAGTGTTTAATAAAGTAAGTGTTTTTTGTGTAATAGAAAAAATGAAGAGCAGTTTAAAACACCCCAACCGGCTTCCAACATTTAGTTTTTAAGTGCTTAATATAAGCATAAGTTGTCAATTTAAACACTAATTTCAACTTTTTTTAAGACAAAAGCTGAAAAAACATTTTTTTTAATATTCTGCAAACACTCCCTATATGATATAGGGAACTATGTCATAAGTTAAAAATTACATTCAGTATGATATATGGAACTGAAAATTAAAGTTAGTTTTTGTCTAGGGCCTCCAAAGTTCTCAAGACGCCTCTGCTTGATCGCCCCCTACCTCTGCCCCTAGATGTATTATTTTTAATATTTGATTATTAAATTATTTTTTGATCATGTTGATTGTTTTGTAAAATAAAAAATGAGAACCAAGTGAACCTTTTTAGCATGGGCCTGCTGAAGTGCTGAGGTTTATAAAAGGGAGCAGAATGAGTAAAACTGTAAAAGTACCATAGGAAAACATTGGCTCGTCGCGTGAAGTCCTTACAACAATAAAAATATGCAATAATGGATATAAAACCAGCAACCGCAACCAGAATCGTCCCTGAAATCACACAAGGGAATATGGCTCTACATTTGGACCGCATGGACGAGTCGTCCTCAGATAACTACATGATAAAAATATAGAAAATGTCAGATAGAAAAAAAAAATGTGGGTCAATGGGTCTACCAGTGTAAAAAGTGTCTATTGTATAAAAAGTGTCTATTGTAGCATCATCTTGTAGCACCGTAGAAATTGCTATAATGTCATACTCCTCCGTCCGACTATGATTATCTCATTTTTCGTTTTTGGAAAATCCCAATAAGATTATCTTATACCAAATTTGGTAAAATTTATGTGTCTCTAAATTATCTTTATTTTATTCTTACTTTATCAAATCAATATCAACCATATTAATAGTGGGCTTGGTCAAGAACATTTGTATTATTGATATCTCTACAATTATATAAGCATGAATATTGTTAGGGTTAGAATGGTCTTAAAAAAATGTTCGTGTCTTTCTCTGCTTCAGCTAATTGTACGTGAGGCATATAAGCTGTTATATGGCAAGGCAACTGGTCACGGGGACTGGTCACGGGGTTACCTTTGCCGTCAATAGCATCTGTCTTGCTTCCGTAAATTGCAGACTTTAAGCTCAATTGGTTAATAATTTAATTTAAAGATTCCTTTCCGGTGGGAGAGCATGAGTGCTTGGGCGGCGCAGAGGTGCAGCCAGATGGATGAACCCTTTAATCGGCCCGGAAGAGCAGCTCCCTGGCGAGCCAAGAGAACGCTCGATTTGTACTCATGGAGACGGCATCAACGTTGGAGGAGATCGGCGACTTGGGCAGAGCGAAGGTGGTCCGATGACTGGAATCGGCGGAAATCGGTAGGTGGTTTCCGTCGCCAATTCAATGACTGAAATCGTCATCTAGAAGGGAGGTTGTCTGGCCATACTTCTCTCCCTCGAATTCCGCCCAACCCGTCGTGATAGTCTTCTTCGAATATTCAACGAAATTCTGAGATGTGGGTTTTTTGGCTCTTTAATTGTTGGCATGAACTGCAGAAAGAGGGGAATGAAAGATGGGAAAGAATGAGTTTCACGAAAGAGAGCTATGATGAGAGAGAGATCCGAGGAAGCTATATTTGCACAATCAATTGTTCAATGAGTTCTTCTCAGGTCATTAGGGATAGCTCTATCTCAGTCATGGCTTGTGTTCTCATCGCTGCATTTTTATACAACTTATAGCTGTAATTTGGTTGAGTATTGAACTACATAAAACTGCATTTTAGACTGTCTAAACCTATATATTTGGTTGAGTAATTAGTTGCTGAAACCATTCGTTTATATAGCTTAAAGCTGTAAATTTTGTTGAGTACTGAGCTGCTAAAACATGTTTTTTGTAAAGTCTAAAGCTTTAATTTTTGTAATTTTTTGTTGAGTATTTAACTACATAAAACTGCATCTTTGAGTGCCTAAATCTATATATTTGGTTGAGTAATTAGTTGCTGAAAACTTTCTTTTTATATAGCTTAAAGCTGTAAATTTTGTTGAGTAATAAGCTGCTAAAATCTGCTCTAAGTAATTAGTCTAAAGCTTTAATTTTTGTAGAGTATTGGAGTGCTGAAATCTGCTCTTCTGGTACAGCCTAAACAAAAAAAAAATCATGTTGGTTTTAGGGTTGCCAAACAAGACACTTGTGTAGTTAAGTTATGAAATGTCATATTTTTGAACATTTCTATTATTTAGGGGACCTACCAAAATAAGCCCTGTGAGCCCCCTCCCTCTTCTTTTTCCGTTCAAGAAAATCTGGCACGCAGCTATGGCTGTGAACTTTGACCCATCAAAGTTGCAGCAAGAAAAAGAGAAACTCTAAAAGCAGCAACTTTCAGAGAAAGCAAGGATTGAAGAACAAATTAAAGCTGCTGAAGCCTGTGCGCGAATGAGGGTAGAGACTGAGTTGAAAATCCAAAGGGAGAGAGAAAGGGAAGCTGCCAGGATTGCATTAGAGAAGATGGAACCAACTATTGATCTTGACGACAATTTAAAGATACTCAAATTACCATAGTTTCTTATATTTTCATAGTTACTCATCATTTGGCTAATACCATGGGCATTGTTGAATCTTTTATCCGCGTTGCTGCTACTGGCCATGATAAGAGGTTGTTATTCAAGGTTAGTGTCTACCTACCATTTCCCTGGCATCATTTCTTAAGTTCTTTTTTGTGATCACACTTAACAAACCATACTTATTTATGGCATAAGTCATATGGATCTGTCCACTGGTCTAACACTATTAGTGCACTACAATTGTGTAGTGTAATCACACTCTAGCAATAATCACTCATTGCTTTAATGAAATATGTGTGGTTTCCCTTACAATAATTCGCTCAAGAGCAAAAAAAGAGCTAAAGGTATAGGCTTCAATCAAATAAGTATTTCTACTTCATTAACGAATTTATATAACTTGCCTTCGGTATTGAAAACTCACTAACATCATTTGAGGTGTTCATTAACAAATGGGTGAGAAATGAAGGGAATCATTCCGGATACATTTGCTCCCCAGAAATGGGAAAGGGAAAATGCAATGGGAAGTTTTATTAAAGTGTGTTACACCTTGGAAAATGAAATGTTGATCAATGTTGTACACATCTCAAATTAATTACCTTCATATGATAGCCATAGATAAACTGCCTTATTAGATATAGAATCTCAAACTTTCTCAAGTTGTTTTTATGATCAAACTTTTAGCTTTTTGCTGAAAAAAGGTTTTTAAAGCAATAGAAAACATTTCCTTATAGTCTTATACAACATTAAAACATAAAAATGCAGCGATTAGTTACTACAAATATTAAAAATTCAAATGCAACAAATTACTTAGTTTCATGTGCACATTTAAACGAACACATAGAGGGCATAAGTATAATATTGATCAATGTTTTACACATTTCAGATTACGTAGCCTTCATATGATAGCCATAGATAAACTTAGATATAGAATGTCAAACTTTTTGAAGTTTTTTTATGACCAAAGTTTTAGGATTATCAACTATAAAAGTATTTTGGGATTTTCAGCTTCTCAAATATTTTAGGATTTTCACTTTCATATGAGTAACAACCTCTATTGTTTTTTTTTGTAGGATTTCAGCTTCTCAAATGACAGCACCTCAATCAAGAATATGGTTAACAAGTAGGTTTACTAATAATCAGTCTCACTGAGCTCCATCAATTTTGAGGAGCTGTGTGGTTTTCGAACTTAAGCATGCCTCAGAATATAAAGTGATTATATTTGTTTTCATAAAAATGATGATTGCATTTCTGGAAGTGATTTAATTTCATATACACCTCAAACCCATCCATACCCTAATTTGTTTTTATCAATCTCTTGTGCATCACGGGTTATGGAAATTGAAGAGGTCTCTGAGATTCAATTGTCCCCCATGTTCCTCTTGTAAATAGTTGCTTGGAAGAGGGTTCTCTCCCACTGCTTAGCGGTTTTCTTTGGGTAAGCCTTTAGGCCTTATGTATTTGCCTTTTTTACTTACTGGCAGAATATTGGGGTGAAAAATAATTGTAAACTAATCAACTGCACTTATATAAATTTTTTTCCTGGTAAAGTTATGAAAATTTAGAAACTACGGGTATAATTTACAGTCATGTATGCTAATAATTTGTTAACAACTTCTCGCCTAACACTAGAAGTACTTGCATCTCTTAAATATTAGAGCTATTGCGTTTCAAATTGAAATTCAATATCATGTAGACTAATTCCAGGGTGCACTTTACTATCCTTTGAATCAATGATGACTTTCAAATATAGGGAATCCTTGGAATAGAAACATACTATCATTTAGAAGATTTACAGGCCAGAAATCTTGGATGAATAAATCCATATTACGTAGACTAATATAGGAGGTTCAACTACTGAGAGGTTTTTAATTCGATATCAGGTTGTTTATATTAGCCTCTCATTTGAGAAGTATATAAAAACTATAGCACTTGATACTACTCAGTAGTTCATAGCTCTTGAGCTATTGAACTTAAAATGAGAATACCAAATTGCATTTTAACATTATAAAGTTACAGAAGGTTTTGGGCTTCTAAAGTTCATTATAAGAACAGAGTTTGAAATTATTGGCATCCCTTTGTGAGTTCTTCATTCTCTCCTAATTAATTAAATATTTCCTTTACATTTAAATCCAATTCATTCCTAAATTGTCATAGTTTCTTTTCCTTGATCGTCTTATTTCTTTGTTTCCATATTCTTTGTTGGATTTTAATTGCCATGTGTTTGCATTTGTACCTGTACCAGCCAACTCTAATAAGAGAAGACCCCAAGTAACAGTTGATGCTGAAAAGGTGGACAATGGACAAGAGTGTTAAGCAACAATGTGGAATTATTCTTGAAGGTCTAATGACTCACAAACTAGGGTGGGCTTTCCTAAAAACATGTAGATCGTGTTGCTTTGAACATTCCTGATTATTTTAATATAATCACTAATTAGCCGTATGGATCTGGGCACGCTGAAATCAAAGTTAAGAAACAACTTATACTCAGGAATTTGCTGCTGATTTCAGGTTGATATTTCCTAATTGCATGAGATATAACCCACCCATGAATGAATTTCATGATATGGCAAAGGAGTTGAACTGGGTTTTCAATAAAAAGTGGAAAGTAATGGAAGCGTAGTGGAAAAGTAAGAGTCGAAGTGGTGAACAGAGTTGCCTTCTCACAAACAGTGTATACAGAAGAATTTACTCACATTTTCACTCAATCTAACCCCAACCATTAATTAATATGCCTATAATGGTCTTGGGCATTTACACGAACGCGCATCGCGCGTTGCTAAACTAGTTTTATTATAAATACATATGTCAGGTGTCCTCTGTGAACAACTTGTTCCATTACTCCACATGGTATTAGAGCTTAGGTTAATTTTTGTTACAAAAATCTTTCTAGTCCAACATTTTAATTTTCTTAAAAACAAATTGCGCGTTGTATCTCCCGCACAGCTTGATGACGTGTATTAGTAGGCTTAGTATGGCCCATTTGCATTATTGACATTTTATTATAAATACATCTGTTAGGGACTTAGGGCTCTTTTGTGAGCAACATGTTCCATTATTTCACAATAAACTCACTTTTCTTAATAACAGTGGCATCCCTCATTTGGCAATGTTAGTGTGACGGAGGTAGTATCTATTGTAACCATTGTTCTAAAACTTGCTAGCGCTAGTCGAGCGGTTGAGGGGCGCCTAGCACCTAGGCGGCCAATTAGGCCGATTTTTTGGCCGACTAGTACGATTTTTTGAGCGACTAATTTGATTTTTTGGCCGACTAGGTTGATTAGTGCTCTACCGTTAGGGCCAACTGGCCAATTCATCAGTCCAACTAGGCCTATTTTTAGAAATGTGATTGTAACATTGTTGTACCAATAAATGCTACAATAAAATGATAAAATGCTACAATACATCTGTTGTAACACCAGTCGAATGTAGCACACTAAAAATGCTAAATTTGAAATTTTGATATATTGTGACATTTTTTGCACGTGTTGCAAGATTTTGCAAATGCTACAAAAGCTATACTTTGTTGTAATAGTCATTTTTCAAGTAGACAAAGTATAGAAATGTCAAATAGGATTAAAAAAAGTTCGTTATTTTTAAAAACATTTTTTGAAAATATAGAAAATGTCAGAGAAAATTTAGATGTTATTTTTAAAATTTAAAAATATGATCAATGTTACACGTCAAATTTTACTCAATTCATGTTTAGACATGCCCAGTACTAAATTTTCAAGATTCATAACTTTTATTCGTAATAAGTTACGAAAACGTAACCATAATTTATTAAACTAAAAGTATTCCAGTGCTTAATATCCTCGAAATTCTAGGGGGGTTGGGTGATCATCATGACCTCCTTGGCTCTGTCCCTGCCTACATGCATATAATTTACATATATTACGGGTAGGGGGAGTATGTAATATTAGTGTTATCGGTATAAGATCACAAATATAACATTGAGAAATTAAATTTACCCTCCGTGTGATTAAAAGTGTTTGTGTCCCATTATATGACTTGCATGTTTTTCCCCATGTATGACTTAACTGTACTCCTTGAAAAAAGGAGGCCACCTATATTTTCCCCTAATCTACGTGCCATAATATTTTTGAGGATACTTTCAGAAATTTGTATGAGTTTTACTCTCATATGTATGTATTTTTCCCTATAACATTGAGCTCCTCATAAATATTCTTGAGGGATGCATAACTTTTAATTTAAATTTACAGAAGATTATGTATTTTTTTTGTAATTTTTTATTGTGTCTGTTTTTTATACTGTAGTTGTACACATTTTGCAGATTCAATCCACTAATAATTACTACCTCTGTCCCACTAAAGGAGTGTTTTCCTTTGCTTTTTAAAAGAACTTTCAGCTTTTTTTATCACAAAAGCTAAAAGGAGTGTTTGTGAATACAAAATTCAACTTAAATTTAATCACTTTTAGGGTAAAAGTTGAAGCTGGTCTAGACATGCTTTTAATAGCTTCTTGGTATTTTTGTGAATAATTCAAACTTGAGGGAGGGTTATTATGATGATATTTCAATTAAATCCAAGAGTACCCTCCCCTCACCCCTGCCACTCTCTCCTGCCTTCTTCGTTCCACACAAACTTCACCCGCAATCCTCCATTCCCCTCACCCAAAATACAACAAATTTCAATTCATGTATACATATAAATAAAAATATATGTAACTATAAATATATGTATATAAATCCTTATACGATGGAGGAAGACGAAGCCGAGTCTCATAAACTACCGGTAAGAAGCGTAAGCCAACTGGCTGACGCCGGAGACGCCAGAGACGCCGGAGACGCCATCCATGACCGGAGAATAGACAACGACTGGATTACGCCCAGTGACGGGAGTCGCCGACTTGGGAGGACAGGAGATGATGCTTAGAAAAGAAATCGGAGAACAGTACAGGACATACGTGGTGCCCCCATTTTTATTCATCCAAGGGCAGTCTTGTACTTTAACAAAATATTCCATCAAAAATCACTTTTTTATCAAACACTTCAACTTCTACCTTTTAATTAAAATCACTTCTATTTACAAACACTATCTACTTTTACTACAAATCACTTTTTCAATATTCTCTTAAATAAATCACTTTTAAAAAGCAGAAGCAAACGCAAACACACCCTAAGATTGAGACAAAAAAGAAAAGAAAGTGGTCCGGTTTTTAAGAAAAATAGAGTTATATCATTGGTAATGACATGATCATCTTTAGTTAATTTTGTGCCCTAGACAAAAACTAAAATTACAATAAATTATACTACCTTCGTCCCGAAAAAGTTCGTCATATTGACTTTTCTTGGTCAATGAGAGTGAACTTTGGACAATGTATTAATTATTATATTTGTGTAGAATTTATAAATTTTATACTTTTATGAAAATATTTTGATTAAGGAACATTTTGATATAATTTTCATACTCTACAAATTTTTGTATTAAAAAATATCAATTATTTTTTTGTAAAGTTTGCCTACTAGGAAAAATATGTTGATTGAAAATATACAATTTTACGGACAATTAATTTCACATACATACAAAAACGTTTCATATAGGGTAAAAAATTATATACTTTTTGTACACATTTTCAAATAAATCTGTACATATAATTTTTTTTGTTAATTTTTTTTAATGAAATTTTTTTGTTAACTTTGGAAATAGACAAAAAATACAAATATAAAAAATCCACTACACAAACAATTAATCTATGACACAAAAAGTGTACAAGATGATGAAGCGGTCCAGCTTATCTAGTCGCTGACTCACTCTTCCTTGTGGGAGGTCTTGTGTGCAGTTCTCAATGGAGTGAGATTGATCTCAGTTTACCCCAGCCCCCAGCCCCCTCTACACCCTCACGGTAAAAAAAAGTGTACAAGATTTTACTAATCCATATTTTTTATTTACAGTGGGTGCAGAAAATATTGAAAATGAATACAAAAAGTGTATACTTTTTAAACCGTATTTAAAATTACAACTTTAATTGTATTGAAGTTACGAATAGGTAACATTTTTAATTCAAATTTATAGTAAAGTAAGGACTATATTTCCTTATAAGCAATAGCTAAAAGATTAAAAGTGCAATTTTCCTGAAAATGATAGAATCTTTGATGAAAATTGGCTTATTTATGTTTCACAAGAATGAATATTTTGTTCTAAGGAGACGATGATAGATGATCTAGGATGTTTTTTATTGGATTGAAATTTTTAGATTTGATTTTATCTAACATGTTTAAGTCTAGTCTGCTAAATTTCTGATTCCATCTATTCCCGAATTGACAGTTTGCAGTGGCGTACTACTCGATCGAGTGTATACTGAAAAAGTATGTACCGGGAGCTAGTCAGAAATTAATGAAACGCGCATGACAAATAATCGAAATAAATGTAGTGCAATTATACATACCCAAGAGATAAAACCTCCGGCCATCCCAAGACATATTCCTGCAACTCCCATTACACAAAGAATTGCACACAGGATACCAGAAACTCTCCGTGATACGTATGCCATGAATTAAATGGCTGTGAGAACAAATATTGGTTCGATCGATCTCTTGCTTTATTTGCTTTGGTGATCGATGCCAATTTAGTGAGAATTGAACCAACGGGCCGGTGTTAATATATAGAGCAAGGGGTAGTATTTTGCAATCACACCCTTGTATGAAAAAACTTTGGAGGCCGCTTGCCAACACTGTTTTTCGGTTTATATTAGGCTTATCAGCCAACTTTTTTATGAAACATGTAATTTTGTTTTCGCGCACTGAATTGTGTAATAACCAGAAAAGGTAAGGTTGAAGTTATTTTTCTAATTGTATTGACGAAAGTTACTGTAGATGATCATTTTACCAATTTGTACATATAATTTTTTCTTTATTTCATTAATAAAATATATTTTAAAAATAATTTTTTCTTAAATCAACAGAATCAGCCAAAGCAGCCACTTCAGTCAGAACTTCATGAAATTTCAGCAAAATCAATCAAATCAATCGATTTCCGTGCTACCAAACGGGCTCTTAATGTCTTTTACTTTAATTTTCTCATGCTTCATTGTTGTATTTTTCCTTTCTTCCTTCAAATGAAAAAGTGTAAATGTTTGTAACTTTAGCAATGACCATAAACATACCTCCGTCAATAATGTAATACGGAGTATTTCAGAAAAAGCTTGACCTGCACCTTTAGTTTCTTTTTTAGTCTTAGAAATATAGACATTACTTCTACGCATGCAGTGACGTAATACACTCAATGTTTTAAAAGCTATAAGGCGTCCCGAGGTGGCAACAGCAAGCCTTTGAAGTCTAGACGAGTTTAGGCAGGACAAAGGCGTGAAAATGCGTTTTGAATTTTTATCCTTTATTTTAATTTTTCTAGAACTATTTCCAAACTATTTACATCTAACATTAAATAATGTTATTAAAAACATCATGCTTTTCTCATTTTCAACAAAAAGGATTTGTTGAGTCCTAAATCCAACAAATAAGGAGTATATTTTAACCAACTACATAAAAACTTGAACTGAAAAAAGTAATTTAATACTCCGTAATAAAATATTAATAAAAAGAAATAGTAACTAATATATTACCAAAATAAAAATAATGGACGAATATGTTTCTTGTTTTTGATGACTCACCTTCATCCCTTTTGTAAGCAGTGGAGTGGTTTTCAAAGACCACATGGATGTGATGACCTTCATAATTCAAACATATGGCAACAGGAGCAAAGGTTTCATCAAAATCTATTGCCACTTAAGCTTGTTGGTTCAACTGGTCCAAACAAGTCAAGGTGTAATAGGCTCAAGGGTCTAGTTGATGACTCAACTTCTTTTGATTTAAATGATACCTTGGTTTGTTTTCCTTTTTGGCAAGCATTACAGAGATGGTCCCTTTTGAAATTGATTTCTGGAAGTCTTTTCACCAATTCCTTCTGGACAGTTTGTTGATTGTTTTGAAGTTGAGATGACTGAGTTTGTTATGCCAGTCCCAACTCAAGTTTGAATCTGCCTTTGTCACCAAGTAGATTCCCTCCTTTGCTGAGTTCCAATCAACAACATACATTTCCTTCTTCATTCTACCAGATAGCACAATTTTGTCATTTTTGACATCTCTAATCAAACAGAAGTCTTTGGAGAATGTTACATTATAGCCATTGTCACAGAGCTGACTTGTGCTTATGAGATTGAACTTCAAACCCTTAACATAAGATATGTTTTGGATTGTGAGTCCATTGATTGATAAGTCTCCAACTCCTTTGGTTTCTCCTTTCTTTTCCACATTCCCAAATGTAACTTTGGGTCCTTCTCCAGCAATGTAGTTAGACAGTAGCCTCTTGCTTCCTGTCATGTGACTGGAGCAGCCTGAGTCTATGTACCATATCTGTGAGTCAGCTGCTCCAGCACCTTCCTGTATTCATCAGTGTTGAGCAGTAGCCCGCAAGTTAATGGGCAACTTCCCTTGTACAAGTTTAGGCATCCAAGTCCATCTAGAACCATGTAAATCTAAGCAGATATGTTTATAGCCATTTGAGGTATTGTAATCATGGGGGATGGCTATATATTTGTTAGTCCTTTTCCTTTTGGATATGGGAAAGTGATTATTAGCATTTGGAGGGATCTGCTTTGTATTTGGGCTGTTGTTGGTCTTATTAATTGGTTGCCAACGGGTTCATGGGTTTTGATGGTTAAGGAAAGTTTGTTTGTACGGGAATTTGGATTTTGATTTGGGAGCAGGCTGGTTCCTTCTTTTGGGAATGTGTTGGGAATGAGGCAGTTTGATGGTTAGCTTCTTTGGGTTTGTTTGTTGGCTAGTGGATGGGGAGTTTTGATTGAGTCTAGTGGGGATATGTAGCTGAGACCTCTTCTCTTCTTATGTAGAATAACTTCAGCAGTAGGGTTACAATGTTTACTATCCATGTTGGAGTTGTTCATTTTATTTTTCAGCTCTTTGTTCTCTTCTTCTAATACATTGTTTTTGGTTAAGGCATCTAACAATTTAGCATGAATAATCTTAATGTCTTGTTTTAATCTATCGTTTTCAAATCTGAAGAGAACATGGTGATTTTGGACTCTTTGGAAGTCTTGTAATAAAGACTAGTGTAATGTTTGATGGTCCAGAGTCACTAGAGCTATAGGAAGAGCAAGATGTTACCTCAACATCATTGAAGTGGTCGTCTGCCATGAAACATCAGGGTGAGCATCTTTTCTCACTTTCACTTGTGGAGGTTTCATTGAGCTGCCTGCTATTTTCTCCCGTGAGCCACCTGCTGCCTTTTCCAGCAACTTGCCAAGCACCTAGCCAAAGTAGTTCTTCTTCAGAGCTCTCAGATGAAGAGCTTTCATCACTTGAGCTACTCTCTCCATCAGTTTGGGATTCTACCTTCTTCTTTTCACTTACAAAGGCTTGTCTCTTGCCCTTGAAGTCCTTCATGTATCCAGTTTTTTGAGCAGTTGCCAGCTTCCCTTGATGCTTCTGTGCCAATGGCAGAGGGCACTCATTTTTGTAATGTCCTGGTTGCAAGGTTGTTAAAATCGTATTTTTTGATCGAATCGTAATAAGGATTTAAAAATCGAATCGCAAAATCGAATCGTAAATCGTAAGATTTTATTAAAAAATTAAATAAAAATTACTAAACATATTATAAAAGGATACATACAATTTAACATGAATTAATACTTTAGTTTATTGCAAATTTAAGTCTCTAAGTTAAACCACTATATGTTTAAGTCTTATAATGATGTATTCAAGTTTAATTTATTGCAAATTAAAGTGCACAAAATAATGTTATGTAACCAAGAATAAAAGTCACTCAATAAATAAATGCAATGTTATAAGTACTTACGGAGTAATCAAGTTTTAGATTGGAAACGCTGTATAAACATTACTCCACTACGTAGTTGAAATAGTATAACTATGTTTTTACAAATTTACTAAATCACGTTCTATAGCTACATTAATACTCCTACAAATCAACAGTTGGTATTGGTGAGTTGATAAAGTTAATTTGCTCCTTTAACAATGGGGTGCAGCCGTGCAGGTTTGATTCGTAGTTTAGAGCGGAAATTTTGTTGTTCTAAAATGGTTTTTTCTTCTCTCATTTCTCAAATGAGACTTTCCCACACCGAAAACGCAACGAAAGTTGTCATCCTACTTTCCCTATATAATGTCAGTGCCATACGCACAACAGCTAGGCAGCAGCTATTTAAGCAAAAACGGGCTAAAGTTATTCGGGCCGCGTTTGGCTTGAGATTTGGCCCGTGTTACATAAATTTTTAAAATCGTAAAATCGGATGCAATCGCGATTTTAAGCGATTGTATACGATTTTAAAACGATTTTATACGATTTTTAAAATTTCCGATTTTGTTTGCGATTTCAATCGGTTTAGTGATGTTGAATCGTAAAATCGTACGATTTTACGATTCAACTCGCGATTTTAACAACCATGCCTGGTTGTCTATAGTTGTAGCATAGGACAATGTCCTTACTGGATTGAGGTCTCCCTTGTCTCCTGGATGGCAGATTGTACGGCTTCTTTGAGGTAAGTGCCTCCTTTTTCATGAATCTTTTGAACTTCATCACAAACATTGCAAATTGTTCATCAGTGAGGAGGTTGTTGATGGATTTCTTAGTAGATCTTGATTTCCTTGGCTCAGACACTAAAGCTCGTGTCTTGGATTCTTCTTCCTTTTCATCCTTGATTTCCTTCATCTCAAACTCATAAGCTTTAAGATCACTGAAAAGCTTCACAGTTAAAAGACTTCTGAGATCTCTGCTATCTCTCATAGCAGTAACCTTCATATCCCATTTTGAGGGTAGTCCTCTCAAAACTTTAAGAGAAATTTCTTTTTGGGAGAGAATTTTCCCTAGGTCAGTGACCTCTGCTATAATTTTAAGAAATCTGGACTCCATTTCATGGACAGATTCAGTTGGTAACATTTTGAAATCTTCAAATTTCTTGAGAGCAATAGTTAGCTTGTTGTCCTTTTCTTGCTCATCTCCTGCTCCAATCTTTGTTAGTTCATTCCAAACTTCATTAGCAATTTCACATTTCCTTATTCTAGGAAATATGGATTCAACAACTGCCTTGAAGAGGATGTCTTTAGCTACATTGTCAAGATTGTTTCTCTTCCTGTCTTCAGTTGTCCATTCCATTTTAGGTTTTGGAATGTACACATCATCTGCCCCTTCTGCTGTTCTGGATGTGATGACCTTCATAATTTTGATAGGTCCATCAGTAATCACTTCCAGCATTTCATCATGTAGAGTACTGAGATGTGCTTTCATTCTGATCTTCCAATCATCAACCTTGTCAAAATTGAACAAGAGATTTTTGGAAAGCTGATTGTCCATTTTTAGATCTTTAGTTCGAAATAGTCAGAAAATGACTCTAGGAACACACTGCTCTGATACCACTTGATGGTCCCGGATAGAGGTAAAAGTCTAGAGGGGGGTGAATAGACTTTTAAAGCCTTTTTGACTTTAAAAACTTTTCCCTTCTAGATAGGAAGATCTATAATCTTTTAGGAGATTATAAATGCACAGCGGAAGTCTTGACCTCTTGTGTAAGGTAACTTTCTATATAGGCGGAGTTTTGGACCTTTTTGAGTGAGCAGTTGTCTGGGCAGTTGAGTAAACTGCAGAGAACTACTGAGTCAACTGCTATAGAGAGTATGACTGTATGAGAAATCTGATTATGGGATCTTGCTAGGAATGATGAAAGCTTTCTGAATATGTTCTGAGAATGGTTGAAATTCGAACTTTATGAGAGCAGTGGTCTCGGCAGTTGGATGGTTACTAGAGAACTGCTGAGGCACCTATTGAGTAACAGGCTGATTCTCAGAAACCTGTTTGAACAAACTTCTTTGTAGTGATATTGTGACGCTTTTGAGATATAGAGATGTCTCAAAGAAAGTAAGTAATTAAGCAGTATGCTGAGCAGTGGTGTAAGATGAGGCTACTGCTGGCAAACTACTTTCTTTAATTAGAAGTGTTAGGTGTGTACTTTGTTGACTGAATTTAAATCAACACACAATATATCGTGGTTCAGAGGTGGTGTAATCCTCCTATGTCTAGCCCCACCTTTTTCAGATAGATTTTCACTAAAGTATTAAGCCCAATACACTTAGTGTCAATCTAGCCTTTACAACAAACTGGCCTAGATTGAAGGTGTTTCACAAGGAGTACACACCACTCCAAGTTACTCAATCCTTTTAGAATTTTCTCAATTGATCCAGTGGGGATCAAAAGGTAAACTATCTATCTATCCACACTTAGGACTTGATAACACAATCCTTCTAAGTGTTTACAGCAATATGTTTTTGTAATTTGTTTCAAGAGATTTCTAACCTCCAACTAGGAACTAAACTTCCAGAATATAGCAATGATGATTTGTAACTTGGAAGTTAAGTGAAGCATGAGTCCAAGCAGAGGGTAAAGTTAGACCAGCACTTTCTCTTTTGCTAGATAGCTTGTATATGCTCAATGGAAGTTTTTCTCTACTTCGGATGCTCAAAGCTTGGTTAGAAACTCATGTTTCTCCCTATATTTATAGGCTTCTCTAGTTGATCAATCATATCCGTTGGTTAAGATAAGTTTATATGTAGCGTTGAGTGAGTTGTACTTTTGTCTTCATGTGCTGGAGCATTTACTGAGGGTATCTCCATTTATTGGTTGCTCAAAGATCACTTCAAGATCATTTGTTGTATACATCCCACGTTCTAGGCCCCATGTACTTGTTTTAGCATTAACTGCGTATCAAGTTTTTTCTTCAATCATTCATATGCAATGAATGTGGCCTTCGTACGTACTTGCCCTTTTCACATTCAATTTTTGTGTCATATGAATTATGCTACTTAGATTCTTCACCAAAAAAAAAAAAACTACTTAGATTCTTCACCAAGTATAAAAGTTAGCAACTAAGGGTCAGGAAATATATATGGGAAATATTGTATTTGGTAATAGAGAAATTTATGAGAAATCATTGACTAAGGGCATCCTCATTGGTAGGATTATTAAGAGATTAAGTAAGTGATATGACAGATTTTTTAAAGGAGCATCATTGAGAGACATAAATTATTTAATGAGATTATTTGCTATAATAATCCGGGATCAAAATATGAATCCAGATTATTTTAAGATTATTTAAAAAGTATATGTAATAGAAGTTAATGCAGGAACGAAAAAATCTGATTATTTGAAGATAATGGTTGGGAGACATAAACGAAGATTGAGATTATTTAAACATTAATTATATAACAATATTTAAAAGGTAAGAATCATAGAAAAAATTGATTATTGGAGATCATGAATGGAGATGCTCTAAGGCATTTTGTGGAACAGTTCGTAAACATACACAAAATGTATTTTGTAACTTACTAAATAATTGCTTTCCTTGCAAATACCAATGAAGAATTTCAATACCTTCATAAATTTAATTATCCTTAAAAGTAGTCTTTATGTGGTGTTGGTTATGTGTAAGCACTCCAGAATACAAGGTATATAGAAGTATAATCTTAAATTGCTTATAACTGCTACAATTAAAAGGTGATCTTTAAGATAAGAAATAACTGTCTCACAAAGTCATAAAACACGTTTCTGTGCCGAAGTGGATCCACACAGAATCCACTGTATATGTAGTAAGAACGTACAATTGTTTTTTTTTTTTTGAATAATTGAAAATAATAATTTTAACTATTGTCGGTCCGCTGACAATAATTCCAACTATTTATTATTTTTGTATAATCCCAACTATATGGACCCTCTGCTAATAAAGGTCCGTGACCGGAAATTATCTGTTATAACATGTGAATTTTAAATAGAAAAATTAAAAGTTGAGATTATTTATAGGGATTACCTGCTATATCTCTTGTCATCCACTTAAAAAACTATAGGAATTTATTTATAGCCAGTCACACTAGACCATTATTGGTGGAAGGTCCCTAAAGTTGAGATTATTATGAGCGGACCGCCAATAGTTGAGATTATTACTATCATTTTTTCCTTTTTTTGCAAAAGCAACGCATTGCAAAGAAATTTCGAAAACTGTTTCCTTAGAAGATGGAGAGCGTACCTGGGGAGAGCGTGAATTTGGCAGAGCGAAGCGGAAGAGATGCCCGGCCATGGCTTCTTCACCGTATATATCTTTTAATTGTCCGTTGAAGTTTTACGGTTAAGCAACCGCACGGAACCGGCGCTTGGTAACCGCAAATGGGGTGAAGACGTGTGAGAGACGGAATTGTACTAGAGGTATATGCAGGGGAAATAGTTGGACGGAATTCAACGGAAAAAGGACCTACTAACAGTAGTTGACGCTTATAATATAAGCAAAGAAATATATATATATATATATATATATATATATATATATATATATATATATATATATATATATACACACACACACACACACACACAGAAAAGATCAGGTCCATCCGGAGGGACGGGAGGCGCCGTCCGACCAATGCCATTAGAGGCCCTTCCCGATGACATTTTTTGATGAATTTTTTTTATCATGTTTCTCATCAAGTCTAGTTTATCCATACCAAATTTCAGCTAAAAATTCAATCGGGAAGGCACTCAAATAATTTTTGGAAGATAACTGCGTTTTATATGTATATAAACTGCGCAGTTAACTTCCAAAAATCATTTGACTACCTTCCCAATTGCATTTTTAGCTGAAATTTGGTATGGATAAACTAGACTTCATGAAGAACATGCTCAAATATTTTCAACAAAAAATGACACCGGGAAGGACCCCAAATGGTGACGGCCGGATGATAAATCCTGTCCCTCCGGCTGGACAGGACCGAGCCTCTCTCTCTCTATATATATATAGAGAGAGAGAGTTATATATATATATAACTCTATATATATATATATAGAGAGAGAGAGAGAGAGGAATGCCCAGGTCCATCCGGAGGGACGGGAGGCTCTGTCCGAACTTTACAATTTGGGGCCCTTCCCGGTGGAACTTTTTGATGAAATTTTTTGAGCAGGTTTTCATGAAGTCTAGTTTATCCATATATGGATAAACTGTTGGAAAAGTGTGTGAAAAATTGCATTAAATGGTAATTTTGGGGCAATTTTTTGAGTGGATTCCACTTCCGATTTGGGTCGGGTCAAAGTGGTTTCGGATTATCCTTGTTTAGGGCTACAATTTGATATATGGGTACGCTCAAAACAGATAGCGGGTGAATGAGAAATCGCTTTTCGAAGTTTACCCGTTAGAATGGAAAAACTGAGAAAAAGGATGGGTTTCTAGTGTGTTATTTCCCACACCGGAAAACCCAAGGGATTTGCAACCCTTTATAAAGGGACTCCCTCCTTAAGGAGTTAAGATTCCTTAAGGTAAAGGGTCTCTCCACGCGCGCAGGAGGGGGGTGCAAATCAAATCCCGAAATCAGAGAAGAAAAACCGCGACTTGCGTGCGCGGGCGACCTGCGGACACGAATGTCGTCCAAAAATCTATCTCTCAAGAGATACGATTAATTTTTGTTTTCTTCCTGAAACGTTTAATTTTTTTCCAGCGGCAGAAGTGCTCGAACAGAAGCCTACGTAACAGAACGCCTCATTGGTATTTTGGTGGCCTCATGACAGAACCCCTCTTGGGGTCTTCTGTTGACTTCGTGCGTAGCACGAGCTTTGACTAATTCTACTTCATCTCCTTTCTTTTTTTCTCTAGTCATTTTATTTAATTAATTAATTTTAATTAATTTTCTTTATTTTCCGAAACACACCCAACACAAACTAGACTTCATGAAGAACATGCTCAAAAAATTTCATCAAAAAATTCCACCGAAAAGGGCCTCTGATGGCCTCGGCCGGACGGAGGCTCCTGTCCATCCGGATGGACATGATCTTTTTCCTCTCTCTCTCTCTCTCTGTGTATACACACACACACA